CGACTGTGACGCCATCATCTACGTGGTGGACAGCGCGACAAGCTGCGCATGGTGGTAGCCAAGGACGAGCTTGACGCACTGCTGCAGCACCCCGACATCGGCGACCGCCGCATCCCGCTACTCTTCTTCGCCAACAAGATGGACCTGAAGGAAGCCATGTCCTCCGTCAAGGTCACCATGATGCTCGGCTTGGAGAAGATGGAAAACAAGCAGTTCCACATCTGCGCCAGTAACGCCATCACGGGCGACGGCCTCAGCGAAGGCATCGAGTGGCTGACGCAGCAGCTGAAGAACTCCAAGGACAAGTGACGTGGAGGCAGCGTCGGGCACTTGTGCCGGCAGGGGACTGGGACCGAGCTCCCTGCGCGGCAGACTGCTGTGTGCGCTGCCGGCCAATGTTCTCGAGGCTCGGCTCGCTTGATCTCGTCTGACGTGACCGGTAGATGGTGCCGATGATAGCGTTTTGTTCACACGCGCAAAGTTTCTCAAACGTGCCGCTTCTGGCGCACGCACCTCGCTGTCTGTCGTAGGCGCGGCGGCCAGTGGTAACCCATCCGTCCAAAGCCCAACATCTAGTCACACATGCCTTGCCCGTAGCGTTAAATTGTACTGCTCGTTTGCACTAGTCCGATGGTCAGTTGGTGGTGTACAGCGATCATCTCTTCTTGGGTGATGGTGCCTCATGTGCGTATCGCAGTGATCTGTTCTGGGGTGATGGTGCGTCGTGTGCGTATCGCAGTGATCTCTTCGGGGGGGCGATGGTGTGTCATGTGCGTGTCGCAGTGATCTCTTCTGGGGCGATGGTGATGGGTGTGGTGTGTGTATCGCCATGATCTCTTCTCGGGTGATGTTTTGCCGCATGATGCCTCAGTGTCCGAACAGTGCGGGCGTTTCAGCTTGGTTACTACCAAGCAATTAATATCGTAAAGCTGTGCCGCACTAAGGTAGTTCAAAGCACACGAGCTCATAGGCCTTTGAGCGCTCTGTTCGTGAGTGCCTGTCATTCGTCCATCCAAATAACTTGGTCGCGCAATCGTGCTGTTTGTAAGGACGCCATGCGTCATGTCATCCTCACATTACGTTTTGCTGTCCAATGTCCTTACAGTCGTTGGATGACTGACGCTACTTTTTGACGTAATTTTGTGTGAATGATAGTCGCGCTGAACGAAGAACATATTCGGTCCTTTGGCTTGGTCAGGTTAGTGTGTGTGTATGTGTATGTGTGTGGCATGGCTGGCAAAGTTTGAGTCAATATATGTATGTCTGATTTCTTGGTCTTTTGTGGGCACCGTGAGATATGTTTCCCATGCAATTACAATCATGGGCAATCCATTAATGGAGAACGTACGTTTAATACTTTTTTGGTCACTTTAAACACTCGCTACCCGTCACGTAGGTGGAGGAACGTTTCAGAAAGTGGGGGTGCCAAATCATCTTTGGAGTCGATTTTTTACATGCGTCTTCATATGATAGTGCTCAGCATTCTGGGAAACTGGAGGTGCCGTAGTAGTGCTAACTGCTAACTGGTAAATGCTAATGTCACTCCTGGTGGATGTTGATGTCAATGGATGCTCGTGCGTGTGAATGTAATATGGACGGTTGGTGAAATTAGGAAAGATACCTTGTATACGAAACCTTCACCACACGGCGACCTCTGTCGAGCGCATACGTGCCTCGGCCTGCCGCGCCTGTATGCGCGCACTCGTGAGCAAAAGCCTCGGTTGTCAGTAAAACTTCAAATATGGAAGCGTTTAACAGCAGACGCAGTTATGACGCAGTGTCATTGGCCAAGGCCTCAGTACCAGATGCCAGACACTGGTGCGTGCGGGCGTGGTGGAAGGCTGGTGGTATCTGCCATGTCTTGGGGTGTTGTCGTTGGCGGATGATTGGGGTAAGCGCTCTGAACAGCCTTTGTTGCTATTTCTCACGAATGCTTGTTATTCTGAGCACTGACGAAACTAGGTACCTGGCTGCGTGTAGTTGGAAAAGGCTGTGCTCCAGTGTGTACGAGGAAACCGCTGACTGTGTGGTAAATGGGCCTACATTGGGAGGAAAACAGATGTTTCTTGATAACAAGACGCGGGAGTGGCAGAAGCGGAGTAAGGACAATGGTGCAGTTGCCTTAATCTCTGTGAAATTTAGGATGGACAGTAGGAGGAGGTCTTTTGAACATGATGTATATCCATGTATCTACTTCACTGAAGGGACTGCAGCTGGTTTCTACTATGCTTACACTGTCCTGTGCAGAATGTTCGGAATTTTAAAAGTGGGGCATTCACCTAAGGCTGAACATGGTAAGCAACTAATGGAATGCAGGGTTCAGTGGATGTAAGATCTGGCCTACATATTTGGTGCATATAACCAACGCAGCTGATATGCCCTTAAACCTCACTAGCTAACTAACTAGGCTGAATAGTTGTGTGTGAATATTATATCTTTATGTTGATGCAATGGGTTGAAAATAACCATTCTGGTCTGGAGAGATTTACATGTCAGGTGATTTAGAGACATTTATCTTTAGGGTTTGATTTACACAGATCCATAGTTTCAAGATGCCAATTTTATATATGGTGACAGATAATGGTGGGTGCCACTGATTCCACTACTTGAGGAAGATCCATATAATAGATGTACAGATACCTTTAACTTATTTTTAATAGTCTTTAAAGTATGAGGCAATTATTGTATCACAGTAATGGAACTGATTTTCTATAACATGAATAAACTGTTAATATTTTCTCCCTGTCTCTACTCTGCATTCAACAATGAGAATAATCAACATGAAGCATATGATCTTAATGTTTTAAATAACTTGTGTGTGACAATGGAAAGAATGACTTGGAAAGTCCCTTTAAACTTCATTAGACAGGTTTCAGGTAGAGTAGACATGGTAAGCACCATGCACAAAGTTTCAAGATGCTATCTCAAATGGCATAGAAATTTAAAAAGAAGTCATTTGCTGCTGCTACATGTCCTTTACCTCACAGCAATAGGATTGGGTCACATGTGAAGTCATTGCTGATACAGTTTTTTCTGCATAGTTGTGCTACCTGGAGCAAAGCTGTTTGCAAACAGTGGCATTGCTTAAGCAATTCCTTCATCCACAATCAGATGGTCACTGAGAGGCATAAGGTAAAGGACTTGCAGCAGAAAGTTAATGCTGTACATGCATGTGCACATATGTACATGTATAAAACATAAAGATCCACTAACAAGATGTGTTAAGTATTCAAGCAATCAATAAGATTCTTAGAATATTTGTGACAATGATCATTGGTACCCTTTTTCATAGATATTATTTTATGATAGTAGTCATCAGTGCTTGTAGTAATTGTGATTACAAAATAGTAATTGCTCTTAATAATGTAAAAAATTGGAATGCAATTGTTCAAAATACTGAATGTGATATGCTCTCATTGTGATGTGCACTTGAGGCTTGGCTTACCCCACAAAAGTATGAGCATGCTGGACTGTTTCAGTTGTGGAATTTATCGCAAGCCTGGGTGGTGCTGGTTCTTTGTCCCATGTGTCTTCATACATAATTTGCTAGTCAGGGGAGCAGATCAAGAGAAAAATAATTTTGGTTTCTGTGCTGCATGCCTTGTGATTAATGGTTGCCACTTTCAGCTATGAGCAGTGGCAATGTGGACCTGGGGGAGTCCAAGTCGCCGCGCTCCTACTACAAGACGTGGCCGGACCCGAAGGGCGGCCGCGCCAGAATGCCGGTGCCAGGTGCGGGCGGGCGCCGAGTCGAGCGGCGCCGGCGACGCAGGCCACGTGTACCAGCACCGATGTCAGACGTGCGACGTGGCCGACCTGCATGCACCCGTGCCGCACGCCAGGCCGGCATCGCTCCAAGCTGGGCCTGAGCGGGCCGCCGCCGCCGCCGGACGAGGCGGCCCTGCTGCTGACCTGCTGCTGCCACCAGTCGCGCTCGGCGCCCTCGGCCAGCGTGCTCTGTCTGGACACGCTCAGCATCGGCTACGACCGGCGCACGCGGCGACTGATGCTGAGCCCGGAGCCGGCGGCGGCGCGGCAGCCGCCGGCCGCCGAGCAGAAGCCGGGCCTGGAGGAGGAGCGGGACAGCGGTGTGGGTGAGAGTCCGTCCAGCACGCTGCAGCAGGGCGCGCTGGCGGCCGCGGCCGCTGCGCCGCGCCGACGGCTCGCTCAGCAGCACCTCCAGTCTGAGCACCGACCACGGCCTGCTGCCGGAGTGGCCGGCCGACACCGGCGCCGGCGCCGAGCCGGGCCGCGCCGCCGCCGCCAAGAAGCGCGGCATCTCCGGTCTCTTCTCCCGGTGAGCGGTTGGCCTCGGCCACTGCGCTCCTCGTGGAGACTGACGCAGCACTGGCTGTAACTGGCCCCGTGTTTGACCTAGGGTCAACCAATTTCTTAGTGCAACCCTTCCTGTTATGCCAGCTGCCGACAGGTAGTGTCGGCAGCCCTCTCGCCTTCGTGTAGGCGTGCGCGGCCAGCCGCTCAGAATTTCCCTAGAATAACTCGATCCTGTGTTATTTACATTTTTTTCCTCGGTTCGTATTTTTTCTTCACTTTTCCCCACCTGGGCTTTGCCGTGCCAAGCCTTCAGCACCAGCCGGGTGCTAAATGACCGCTGCAGTTGACGCGTCCCTAAGCCCAAAGGTTAACAAACTCCCAGCCATTTTTAGCTAGCCGTCTGGCAGCGGTATTCCCTCTTACCGTTGTTTTTTTGTGTTTGAACTTTCTCATTCTCTCCTCTAACGGCTCTTTTTTGATATTTTTACTATCGCGTGCAGACGTAAAGGTTTCTAGCATGGTCTCTGATTGGATGTTCTTTTACGTTCTTATTAATTCTGTGCCTGTCTTCAGAAACAGTTATCATGTATTTCCCTAACCAGTCTAATATTAGTTTGAATCATGTTCCAGAGGCCTGTTCTCCTGGCGGTCAAAAGACTCTCAGCCCGCTAGTGGCCCGCCGTCCCTCAGTGCTCCTGGATGGGAATCTTCAGTAGGGCTTCCCAATGCGATGGAGGAGCTTCGCACGCACTATTGGTAAGCACGTTTTGTTCGAGTCCTTCTTAAGTGAATGTGGTGAGACAAGGACTTTATTTCCGAGCAAATCAGAAAGCTGCTGACAGCAAGCACCCTTGCACTAACGTAACTTTGATGCGGCCGCTGTACTCGGGGCCCCGGAGGCTTATTTTATCAGCTTAGGGGTTACTTTCTCCAGCTTGGCTGGTCCACCGTGCCTTCTGGATGTAAATTTGGCGTGAGGCCAAATTTATATATGCGCATATATATCCGTATGCGACCTCAACGCTCCCCGGCCATGTACTGTCAGTGAACAGAGGACGGGAAGCAGGCGAATTTGCCTCCTAAGCCTGGTCTCGAACGTGCTTCGTCTTGGTATATGCCGAGAGAGACTGGACCGATTAAGACGCACAGTCATGCAGCTCTCAGGTACCAAAGAGTAGTACCAAAGAGTAGGCACTTGATCAGTTTCATCGATATTCCACTGAACGGTATGACCAGCGGGCCATTGTCAGGAAAAATTCGAGCAATATGATTTTTAATTGACGCTAACGCTGTATCAGTAAAGGCCTCTTCATGATAAACTCTCACCAAAGACGGGCTTCGCACTTCATTGAAAAGATCAACTTGTGTTAGTGCCATAAATGTGTTTCATGTATGTCTTATCAAGTATTTTTCATATTTGTTCGTGTAGCTTTTGTATCATGTGCGTGATGAAAGCAGTTTTTTGCCTTGATAGACTCGTAGTTCACAAGGATCGATAAGATTATCGATATCTCCATGCATTTTACGACTGTCCTCAGTCAGTAATGTCACGTCGTTGTGAGCATGGCCGCGTTGTCCTGCGTTGGTCACCGCGTGACCATATCGTGCTGAGTCTATGCTGTCTGCCGCCGGCGCCGCATGTGACCCTGAGCGCGCCGCGTCGCCAGCCGACGGCCAGCTGCACGAGCCTGACGAGCCTGGCGAGCAGCGCCGGCGACTCGCCGAGCCGGCCCGGCCGCCGCCACTCGGGTCTGCAGGCGGGCAGCCAGGGCCTCATCCTAGAGACGCGGCCGCGACAAACCTGCCGGCCAAGAGCAGCAGCGAGGAGACGCGACACCGGCTCGAGCACGAGCAGATGCTGGAGCAGCGCGCCGCAGAGGTCGGGTGGGCCTAACCGCTGGTTGACCCGGGCATGGCTGGGGGCGGCGCCCGCCAGCGGCCGCAGCCCGGGCACGGCTGGGGACGGCGCCCGCCAGCTGCCGCAGCCCGGCACGGCTAGGGCGGCGCTGGCCAGCGGCCGCAGCGCGGGCACTGTTGGGGGGCGGCGCCGGCCAGTGGCCGCAGCCCGGGCACGGCTGGGGGCGGGCGCTGGCCAGCGGCCGCAGCGCGGGCACTGTTGGGGGCGGCGCCGGCCCAGGGCCGCAGCCCGGGCACGGCTGGGGCGGGCGCTGGCCAGCGGCCGCAGCGCGGGCACGGCTGGGGGCGGCGCCCGCCAGCGGCCGCAGCTCAGGCACGGCCGTGGCACGCTTCCTTTCAGTGCGACCCGCATGCTTGATACTGTGGTGGTGTAAGACTTTAATCACACGGACGGTAATTGACGTGTTGCATGACATGGGAGTTACGGCTCCCAAGCGACGGTATGGGCTGATCTCATATGTGGCTGACTGGTCCAAGCTCCTAAGTAAATAGCTGACCGTACTAACAACATCAAGCGGTGATAATTTCGATGGTAATGCAATGATCATTCTTGTAAACCTCGTCGTCGCTGACTACTGCTTGTCGCTGTTACGAAACAGCGCTGTGCGGGAGGCCTTCGGCGCCTTTCGACACAACAAAAAATAGATGTCGTAGGTGGGCAGTGTGATCAGCATATCTGTATACTCTGGCGGCATAACTACGACGCTGCTGCTCATCTGGCGGCATCTGGCCTGTTACTCGTTGTTTACTCGCAGTGGTTAGTCATCATGCGACCGTCGCGTCTGTGAAGATGGAGCCGTGTCACGCTTTGTCTGCAGTCCCAGGGGCGGCGTTATGTCGATTATCACGTGACCTAGGAGAGGCCACTGCTTGCCTTGAAAAGGTTGACACAACGTATGCACGCGTTAAATAACAGTTTTGACATTATAAGGACGACTCTCCTTTTGATTGCAGGTCTCATATTGTTTTGTCATGGCGTATGCCAATAATCAGCCGCCTCCTTCCAAGCTGCGATCAGACGTTGTTATGAAGCGAGCGTGTTAACCCTCGCGGGACAGGTCGTGGCCAGGGTGATAAAGGTGCCTCTTACAGTTTTGAACAAAAAGTGCCTGAAAGCACTTGGATGCGTTACTTCATGATAATTTGTGCTTTTCTAGTAGCTTTTAGATAAAAAGTGTTAGTAAATAATATCAATCCAATACGAGCTAGCGCATGCTGCTCTGGAGCTGGCTATAGCGTGTTCGGTTTTGGTGGTAGCGCTTGGGGGTAGGAACCTCTGAGACCACTCCTTTGGCGGAGGGTTCTGGGGCTAGTTCTAGAGTGCTCGGTTTTGGTGGTAGCGCGTGGGGAGGGGACCTCTAAGACCAGTCCTTCGACAGGGGTTCTGGGGTTGGTTCTAGCGTGTTAGGTTTTGTTGGCAGCGCGTGTGGGAGGGGACCTCTAAGACCAGTTCTTCGACTGGGGTTCTGGGGTTGGTTCTAGCGTGTTAGGTTTTGTTGGCGGTGCGTGAGGGAGGGGACCTCGAAGACCAGTCCTTCGACAGGGGTTCTGGGGTTGGTTCTAGCGTGTTAGGTTTTGTTGGCAGCGTGTGAGTGAGGGCCCTCCGAGACCAGTCCTTCGACGGGTTCAGCCTCCGGGCATCGAACCGCTAGCATCAGTCAGACATCATGCCAAAGTTCATGCACTCTGCGAGAGGTCGGCGGCTGACGTGCAAATGGCAAAGTTTGGTGAGGGGAGGATGTCCCGGGCCTGCCATCTGGCCGCGCCACCTCGAAACAATGCAACGGCTGACTGGGTAACCCATGGGCCGGATGTCGATAACCACGCAAGGAAGCCCGTCGTCTCTCTTCATGTGTGGGCGTGCTGTGGGCTTGCTGGCGAACCATTCATTACATACCGAGCCACTGTCTGCTGTGATACCGTTATTTTGCGAATTTAGTTCTAGCGGTGTGCATGGTTGTCTGTGTGCCCAGAGGACTTGCCAAGCAGAGCTTGTTGCGGGCAGAATCCGACACCAAATTTCTGTCCTTTCATTTCGTCAGTCATTTTCGCCTTCAGTGTTTTGTCAGACTGGCCCGCGGAGGGTTTCACGTAGCACGCAGCGGGGTAGCGCGGCTGCCCCGTGCAATTAAACCAATGTTGCCTCAAAATGGTTATTAGTATTTGGTCATTGATACCGATGCAGGCCGGCCGCAGGTGAGTAAAAAAGCGGCTATGAAACCGCCTGTTCGGGACCTTCCTAAGCCACTTTTCTGGGATATGTCGCCTTTGTTGTCATTTCTGGGCCAGCCAATCTGGGCGGTCTAGAGGGATATGTCGCCAATGTACAGAAGCTGAAGATGACTGGAAGGGCGGTTTATTCAGGAGCTCGCTGTTGCCATTTGGGCATTACGACGTACCCAGCCTCTGAGGCTGTGACGTCCTCTGCCACCCACCTTGGCGGAAATGGCGGGCCCGGCTGGAATCGAACCCTCTACCTATGGTCTCCCAGATGCGTGTTTTAACCACTGCACTACTGGTATGGACGGTTCGAGCTGCCTCCTCGCAGATCCATCTGGGTCAAGTGCCTGCAATGCAAGTATCTGTATGGCCGTGAGGAAAGGTGAAAACGCTCTGTTAATTGTCAACGCTGTCAGTCTAGCTTCCTTGTAAACATGCTGTACGCCATTGCCCCGCCTGCTGAATGGGGAGGTTTTTAGAGACCACCACCGGGAAAGCGTTTCCATGAATGAATAATACGACAAATCCATTTGTTGCAGATCAAAAGAACTCGAAGTCACGGAAAAAAGCTTTGCAGGCTCGGCTCAAGACGGAGCAGAGCTTGGCACAAAGCTCAAAAGTCTGGAGCCAAGACATTCTGCCTAATTGGAACAAGGTATGTTTTATGCGTCAGCTGTACTGCCTGTGCGGCTGCTAGTGTTGGCAAGTAACTTATCCGAGAGCGACGGACTAGTTACTCCGCCTATGTGAATATCTTTTGTCACCTTTAGCCCGATATTGTATTTTTCAACCTTGGAAGCCAACACAACCAAGCTGAGCTCAGGATTCGTGTTCTGCTATACTTTTGCTATACGTTTATGTCGCGCACTGCCTTACGGAGGGTGTGAACACAACCCAGCCGTGAACCGTTCGCCCTGGCGCCCGTGGCTCCAGCGCTGTAGGTGCGTGCGTGTGCTGCGCAGGTGCGGCACACGCGTAAGGTGGCCGACCTCTGGTGGGGCGGGCTGCCGCCGAGCGTGCGCGGGCCGCGTCTGGATGCTCGCGCTCGGCAACGACCTGAACGTCACGCCTCAGCTGTACCGCGTCTACCATCAGGAGTGAGTGGACGCGGCCCGGACGGCAGCGGACGGCTCCGCGGGTGGTCGTGATGGCGGTGTGGGGCTGTGGAACGCGTCGAATGCGTATGGCCGCGCCCATAGCTGGCGACCTGGTGCCAGGTGCATGTGTCAGTCGAGGGTATCCACCGACGCCACTCTCCAGGCCGCCGGATGATCTCCGGTGGAAAGTTCAGCCTTAAACGGTCCGATGTGATCAGACACCGGCAGGTGTAATTTGACGAGGGGTGTCGTGTGATGCTTGTCGCTAGGCTTTCTGGTGGATGGGGAGCGGTAGTGTGGTCTGGCAGTATCAGTTGCAGATCAGCGTGGGTGCGTGATCCAACATAAGCAGGTGCATGCAGGCGTACAAGCGCCGTTTCAGGTAGTTTTGCGCTATCGGGTGCATATCGGGGCCTATCTGCCACTCGAAACCGGCAGGGACTTGGGTGGACTGGTGTCATCTGACACCCATTGTTGGTGTTTCACCGCTCGAGGTCCGATGTGACGGGGCTCGTGACGTGCTGGGCATGTGACCCGATGACAGAGGTGGTATTTGCTTTGTCTGACGCTGGAGCCTTGTGTGTGACGCCGGCACTCGTAACTCTGGCCGAGGGCGCAACTGTTTCGGAGAGTCTCGTGTCGCCAAGAGTTCAGCTCCGCTGTCCCTCTGGATGTTAGCCGGCCCATGAGGATCAACTCTAGTTTCTAAGCTACACGCTCGCGAAGATGTGCATAATTCTTCCTGGAGACTATGTCAAGGTCACCCAGACATCTATGACGCCATAATAACGGCATTCAAATTCTGCCATTCCATTGGCCATGCGGCGGTCAAGGCCAAAAAAGCAGAATGGTTGAGTCGTTCCTATTTGGCGTTTGTGAGCACGATTTCTAGATATAACGGCCGTCAATTGGCTCTCAATCAATAATATGCGAGGTACGTTCACGTAACAAAACGATAGCGTGTTGAAAAGCCTTTTTACTAAACTGGCTGTTGTCCGCATTGAACCGCATTGTCTAGAGCAGCCTTTTTCACTTAAAGGTATACCAGTAAGTGGGCTTATTTCACCATATCTGACGCTATCTCAAATGTGTTCAAATGTGGATAATTCCCTTTCACGGTTAGGAGACCTCAGCAAAAATAGGGTTGACTGATCAGGAGAAAGTTGTGTCGATTATCTATAGGTCGGGACGACCCGCGAACTGTTTTTGGACCTCGGTAAAAATTGGTATTGGGCTCCCACAGGGAAGTTGACGCCGTTTTTTTTGCCCTTTGGGTCTGGTAGTAAGGGCTTGGAAAAGAGCTCGTCGAGCTGCCGTTGGTGCGCTGCAGATGGCTTGCCGAACGAAGGCGTCATGAGGGATTAACTTGCACGAACTCGTAGGAGGCACATGTTCGGTGTAATTGGGGGTTTGACAGGCCCTTTGTCACCAGCGAAAAGTTCCCCTGCAACGCGCGTTTGGAACCCAGATATCCGCGCCCTCCAATCGAGCGCTGCCACGACGGTGTGCTGTGGGCCGCGTGGCAAGTTCCGTGCCATTCACCAGTGCGCTGTTCTGTGGCCTGACTTCTGTGCTGTCATACGGGGCGCCGCTGATCATCGACTGGTCCCGCCGCCGGCGCCGTGACACCACTGCTGCGTCGCGCCGAATCCCGTCCGCTATTCATTGACCCGACGGCCCGCGCTCTGACCCCGCCCCCGGTGACCCCTCACGCCGGCCTGTCTGCTGGTGTCCGATCGACGGTCCGGCAGCCGGCGCCGTGACACCACTGCTGCCTCGCGCCGAATCGCGTCTGCTATTCATTGTCCCGACGGCTCGCGCTCTGACCCCGCCCCCGGTGACCCCTCACGCCGGCCTGTCCGCTGGTGTCCGATCGACGGCACGCTGACAGCTACGCTCTCCGTCGCACAGGGCGCTCTCCATTCTGGAGCTGGCGCAGGCCGGCTCCGGGCCGCGCACCAGCGCCGGCGACAAGGAGAGCTCCGTCGAGCTCATCCGCCTGGATGTGGCGCGTACCTTCCCCCAGCTGGGCCTCTTCCAGAAGGTACGGACCGGTCGGCAAGCCCAGCCCACAGCCCGAACACAGCGCCACTGCCCGCTGAGTATATCCCGAGCCAGTCCCACCCTCCGAGGCTCGGCGTTGGGCAGAGCGACCAGCCCACCAGACAGGCGCCTGGATGCCAAGGTTGGATCCGCATCCCATGGGGTTCCATGTTTATGGGACCCTGAGGTGTTGGTTCGGACTCCATGTCTGCAGTTCACTGTCGCAATCTCTTTGTGAAAGTGATGGTTCTAGAGGCTCATATCCGACCTTCGACTTCGGACTTCGAGAGGGCTACAGAGGATGGTTTCAGCAGAACCCCCCGTCGGGAGAGGCGGTTGGTAGATACCTCAGCCACTTCGGAGCTCAGGGTCGGGCGCTGGCCTGAGATGTCTGCCATCGGCGGGGTTTGTGAAATTTGCCGACGTACCGTGGTTCAGCGTAACCAAGTTATGTGACAGCGCTGGTATCTGTTGAAGCAGATCGTGTGGGGCATTGTCCCCAACCAATGACTAATTGCTGACTGGCTGCGGCAATGTGCCTGAGGGAGTCAAATGTTCAGTGTCGCAGCAAGTATTCCAAATAAATCGTTGTCTACAAAACTGAGACTAAACAGTTCGATTGTCTGAATGCTCGCAATGATTGGGTGAGGCGTAGGTCTTGGTATACAGTGCAATTCATTACTAGGTAACGCGTTCCGGGCAATTAACACAGGGCAGCGGGTACCAAGTGCGGTAGCGGAATAATATATATTATTTTTTAGGACCAAGGATTGTTTTCCTGGATACCCACTCTAAGTCGGTGCCTTTAAGTTGACATTCTCAGTTGTATCATATTTGTATGGAGGACTTCTAGATGAAAAAAGTGGCGCTATCGCTGCCTTTTTAAAACCAAGAGAGTTCTTTTGCTGTAAGGGAGCACATTTTGTTTTCTGTTCGTGCTCTCCTTTTGTCCGCGCGGGAGCGGGGAGGGGAGTGGTTCCCTTGCGGCCATTCCAGTAAAAAACGAATAACTGCGGTCACCAAATTTATCATAGCTGAGAGCATATTCATGGGCCATATTTTGCAAAACCAGAAAATCGTACTAAAGATCTGGAGGAAAGTTTTTGGGAGACGTCCGGTGCGGACTGGTTCGTGGCAATAGATGCCAACTGGGGGCATGAAAGCGGCGCATAATAGGGACTCCAGTAAATATGTTACTTATATGAGCGCGATGGGGTGGGAGATGAGTTACCTGTCGTGATCCTGTTGGCCATCTGCTTGCACCTGGGCCACTATTATGTACCGTTTCAGGCCACGGTTGTGTGACTGGCTGGAAATGTACCGTTTCGTGATTCGGAGAGTCGCATTCCTGTTTGTTCCGAGCATTTATGTTTCTTTTTATGAGCATTTATGTCACCCTGGCTTATAATGTTACCTGAACTCGAAGAAGACATGTTGGAAATCATTGCATTCGTTAGGCATGAATCGCTGCTCTGCTTGTTTCGTGCCACTGGGTGACTCGGGGGACCGAGCGGCGAGGCGAGCAGACATGCCTGGCGAGGCGACGTCCCGACACCCGAGTGCAAACAACCCCCGCCCGGCCCGCCCGGCAAGGCTCAGAGGGCTGCTGAACCAGCCCCCGCCCGGCCCGCCCGGCAAGGCTCAGAGGCCTGCTGAACCAGCCTCCGCCCGGCCCGCCCGGCAAGGCTCAGAGGGCTGCTGAACCAGCCCCCGCCCGGCCCGCCCGGCAAGGCTCAGAGGCCTGCTGCCACCTTCCGGCCGGAATTCGAATGCGTGCACTTGCCGAAATCAGACGTCGTCGATGTAGACCTCAGCTAATTTTCTTCTTTCGCGAACCCGTCGAACTCTGCACTCGGTTCAAGAGTATCAATGAATAGCATTATAATAATGTAGTCATATCAAACTTGCCCTGAATGAATCTAACGGAACTACTGATACGTTTGCATGTCTGCGAGCTCGCTGCACCCCACGATTGACCGCCTGCCGATGGTGGTGGTCGCACCGGAAGCAGGAGGCGCGGTTTGTAGGTCCAGCAGCCCTCCGTGATACGATGGGGATGATCCGCTTATTTATGCCATGGGCGAGCCAGGTGCGCTTTCCAGTGTCACGCATGAAAAAGAAGCGCCACCCACTCACTCCAGATTCCGGTGATAGTCGCGAAAGATGGCATTCCTCCTCTACGACCCGATGTCATACGATAAAGCCAGATTCATTTAACGTTTGTCGTGAGTTTACAGCATTATTCGCCAAATTGTGTCGTCATTAGCACCCGACTCTACCACACCGTACGGTTAGTGCAATGGGCGCCACGTAAGCGGTGATGCAATCCTGAAGCAACAGTGATGTTTTGATGCATCATCAGGAATGCCCACCTGGCGACTACAGCCGTACGGATGGCGTGCGGCCACCGGGTCTGGTCTGGCACTGGGACGTCGGTCCCGCGGCCCCATCCCGCCGTCCGTGAGCGGCGGAGTGCCGCACCCTCTGACCAGACCCCATGTTGACCAGGGCGGACCCTACCACGAGCTGTTGCACGAGCTGCTGGGCGCCTACGCCTGCTACCGGCCCGATGTCGGCTACATCCAGGGCATGTCGTTCATCGCAGCCGTGCTGCTGCTCAACCTGGACCCGCCGGACGCCTTCGTCGCCTTCGCCAACCTGCTCAACCGGCCCTTCCTCTTTCACTTCTTCCAGCTGGACCACGGCATGGTGAGCGCCGCCCGCGCGCGCTCGCAGGTCGGGCGCAGGGCGGGGCTAGCGGGTGCGGACGATCACAGAGCTGCGCCTCAGTGGCGCACGTGTGCGCGCCCGTCGGTCTGGTGACGTCGCCCGGCTCGCATGTGCAGCGCTTGGTCCTGGGCTCGTTCGCATGGTGTCCCGAAACGCAACCAGGACAGCGATGTGTGGTGGCAATGTGTTACTGAGTGCGACGTTGAAGTGTGCTTAGTCTCAGGGCGTGATGTTTTCCTAACATTCAACATCGCAGGTGTTGCTTTTGATTTCTGCGGTGGCACCAGCGTAGGCTACCTTCAGACCTCCCGTTCCGCCGAAGTGATGCGAGACAACGCAGTGGCAGCGTCTCTGCAGCTGTACGTTAGGTACCGACAATGCCTGCCTCATAAACACTGCGGCAGTTTTCTGACACGTCATCCATAGAGGTGACATTGCGATAGCTGCCCATCATACGCGCGCCTTCTGAACCCGCGACGTATCGCCCCCAGCGTGGTCTCCCCGGCTGGGTGCATCGGTCACGGGGTCGGCCTGGCTGCACACTTGTAGCGACCTCCCCCCCCCCCCCCTTTCCCCACTCAGGCCTGGCGTGCCCCTGGGCCAGCGGGCGCCTGAACCTGCCGTGTCGCCCTCAGATGAAGGCCTACTACGCCACTTACACGGCGCTGCTGCGAGAGAACCTGCCGGAGCTGTGGCGACACATGGAGGTAGAGGAGGTGACGCCGCATCTCTACCTCGTTGACTGGCTGTACACGCTCTTCTCCAAGTCGCTGCCGCTGGACGTGGCCTGCCGCATCTGGGACGTGTTCATGCGGGACGGCGAGGCCTTCCTGGCGCGCGCCGCGCTCGGTGAGTGCCCCGTCGCACGGCGTGTGCACACGGGGCCGGCTGTGGCGGCGGCAGAGGTGCCGCGGTGCTGGTGAGGGCTTCAGATGATCTGGCGGTGACTGCCCGTCTTGTTAGTGTAGCGGGTTGTCATGAACGGAGAGATGTTACGTTTGCAATGATTTTGTTCAAATCAAGAGTACTGCGACGCGTGCATGACGAATGGAACGTGGGTTATCAAGTCACTTGGTAAACAGAACAGTTTGCAAGAAACAGCTTGTTTTGACGACACATTCGTCGCAAGGGCGATCTGCCAATTTGGAAAACACAACCAGTATGTTCTTGAGCGTGCGCAATGATCCGAGTCTACGCCCGTCGCCGACGAGGCTGCGTCGGCCAGGCCACGTCGCATCCATGTGCGATAAGGTCATCTGCCTTCACCATCCAACGGTGCGACCGTTTGACATTTCTGCGGACTCGACAGGTATTCTGCACCTGTACGAGGAGCAGTTGCGCGACATGGAGTTCATCAACCTGGCGCAGTTCCTGACCGGCCTTCCCGACGACCTGTGTCCGGACGCGCTCTTCAGGTCAATCGGCAAGGTGCACACCCACATCGGCAAGCAGTCCTTTCACGAACTGGTGGAGCTCAACCGACAGGCGTCGACCACTGAGTCGCCCTGAACCGAGACATCGCGACCGAGACTTCAGAAGGGTGGAGACGAGGACGGAAACGGGTGTGGACTGGGATAGGACAGAGACAGAGACAGAGACGGAGACGAACACGGGGACGGCGACGGTCGCCGGGACCGTGACTGACACGGAGACGGCGACGGACAAGGGGACGGATACGGAGACGGAGACAGAGACGGGGACGGAGAGACGGAAACGGAGACGGAGACGGAGACGGGGACGGGGACGGAGACGGAGACGGAGACGGAGACGGAGACGGAGACGCCGACGCCGACGCCGACGCCGACGCCGACGCCGACGCCGACAGGAAGGTAATATGAAGAGCAGAGAGGCATGCCGGGTGAACGCTTACCCTGCGCCGGAACCCCAGGGCTTCTGTCACGGTCAGCCGTACGTGATCACGTGAATACTCCGCATACCCCGGCCGATATATATTTGTACCATCAGGTGCTTGAACAGCCGGAATAACCGCACGATAGTGTAGACCGTTTGATACGCGAACGATGTGATTGTTACTGTGTTATTTCCGGTGCTGCAGCTTGGGCCGCAGCGTGGCGATCGTAGCGTGACACTGATGTACGCCGGAGTGTCCGCAACGCCGCTGGGGGCGTGTCGCCGGTTTGACGTGCCTTGACCGAACCATCGGTCGTTTACCCCGATCTGAAAACGATCTAGTAGTGTATGTAGATACTTCATGACCACCATGGGATGTTCGCGGTGTTTTTTTCATTCGACGTCATTATTGCCAAGAGCATGCATCCCATTTACCGAGCATAAAGACAAATGTTATCGTCTTCGTGTTTATTGTAGTGGGCACCGAAAACGAAGAAGCACAGACGAGACCCCAGCATCACAAACGCGAACGTCGTAGCCTGCAAAAACTAAAACGCAATTAAATCGGGGTGTGGTCATTGTTAACTTGATCACAATGCTACCAAACTTGTGACAAGGGCATTATCATTGCCCACAGCCCGAAACACAATCCAACTAAACTGTAAGAGGCAACGACAAACATTTACACCAAACAGGACTCATTGAGGTCGTAACCTAACAGATCATTTGAGACGGCTGGACGGCACTCAAAATTAAAGGTACCATTTGAAAATTGCCAGGAATTCAGTAGAAATATGATTCCGCTTCAGTCTTGCATAAGTAGGCATGGAAGAATCTACCGTTTTTGGACTAAAATGGGTCTTCATGCATTCTCGAGTGGAGCCATCGACATTAATGGAAAATGTGATAAGTTGACGCAGAACGCTGGGTTGCAATTACCGTCGCCACGTGAGTGGTTGGGTTTACGCGGTTTCACCAGGTGAACTAAGTCGGAGATGTACGTTAGAACGTGAACAGCTGGGGAAAGGACGCCACCTGAACTGCCGATAAGGTGCAGCAAAATTAAATTTTGGCAAAATTGATATGAGGAGCGGCACCCCCGTATCACACGCTACAGCCGCACTGACATCCGTCATCTATTTTCATGCAAGGAACCGATTCGGTGTCCTGTGGTTTTCCTGACTCATCACCGAATCATTCCGGCTAAATCGCTGATGTTTTTTCTCCACCAGCGATCTAATTTACCCAACCACATTTGGGCACTACATTACCTAGGGACGCCTCAGAACTTGCTTCACAAGAGGCCCATCAGGCCAAGTCGCGGTGCTGCCAGAAGCGTGCACTGACTGATAACTTCGCATTGCCGAAAGCCGATTTTTAACTGAAATCAGTTTTCACGCTATCCCCTACGCCCAAGGATTGTGGCATGTGCATTGAATACCTCATTCGTGTAAAGGATGTATCAGAGGATATGGTGGCAGGGTGAATCGACGGCTTCAATGCTGAACAGATTGTATCCGGCATTCTGACATAGTTGAAATGCTACAGAGGGGGAACTTTCACGTCACAGGGCAGGTGTAAACACGTTAGTGAGAGTATGGAGAATATGGAGAAGTTGGAGAGAATACAAAGAGAAGAGAATATGGAGAATAAGAAGAATATGTTAGCGAGAATACGGAGAAGGGAATGTGGCCATCCGATGGCAGATTGGTCGTACAGATTCTGTACTGATCTTAACATCATGACAAACATGCCCTTGTCTTGATCGACGTGGTATATCCCATACCCGCCGATGGCCCGGGCATTCCCCAGGACCCGATGCAAATACTGGATGGGGTACGGGGACAAACGCAAGGTTGCACTTGCGCTGTTGCAATCAGCTCGGCATAGATGTACCCACATTTCCTAGCTCATGCACCCATCACTTATTCAAAATCCATCCGCTGATGATTTTGGGTTCGTTACGGATGCAAAATCTTAGTGCAAAAGAAAGCTACGGATCTAACTTTGTTTAGGTCATGAAAAAGTTTTAATTTATCACCAATTGCGCCATTTTAGTAAGCTACCAACAATTCTGACAACTTCAAAATCTAATTTCCAATATTTGTTCAATTTATTTCTTAGTGCGACCAGGCTCAGGCCGTGAGCTCTTGCTGTCAACCTCTAGCGTCCAAATTGGTTCCGTTGATTGCCGCGTATGACGGGAAGGAGTGGATGCCCCCCCCCCCCCCCCCCCCTCCATCCCATTGATTTCAAGCTGAGCTCTGCACATGAATAACGGACTGAATTAAATAGGCACATAACAAATTTGACACGGCGAGATCTGAAAAATGGCAGAATTGTGGTTATCACTTGCTCTTTTCATCACAAACGAACGCCAAACAATGGATGATCACTAATGTACTGCTGTTGGTGTAGGCTCAACGCTTTGAAAAGAGATGCCATCAAAATGCCGGCAGTCACCTGCCTCCCACCTGTAGATTCTAAAGCCGCTACAGGAAAGGTGCAGACGAGTTAAGGATGGCCAGCTGACAAAACGGCGATATGGACTAGGATGCAATACTGCAGCCTTAAAACGTGATAATGCGTACAACATTTGGTGGGACTCATCCGCCAGAATCATCCTGCCTGAATCTCGCCTGTTTTTCGAACAGACGATCTCCGGAACCCATCTGAAATCAGGGCTCTGACAATGTCCGGCAGCACGGGCATAAAACGCCCTAAACGTGATATGTACTCAGCAGTCGGCGTGCCTCAAACTCCTGTAAATAGCACCAGATCACGCCCAACACTCCCCAAAAATAAATTAACGTAACGAGGACCAGACTGATATAAAATGGCGAGAGGTGCAAAGAAAGGCACGTATAACCATGTCGTAATATGGTATCGACAACCCTAAAACCAGGTTTTTTAAAAAAACTACGGGGCAACCGAGAGAGAAAAGAATAAGGATGGAGCCACACATTACTCCGGGAAGGAGGCATCCCCGACGGCAATGCACAGTTCCGGCTTGGTCCGATACAGATGCGATTCAAGGGTTGGCCGAGCCTATACAACACAATCGAGTTACAAAAAACACGGACGTCAGGGACACGCCTATGACAGACAACAAAACCAACAGCCTCTCGATCTAGCAAATCTCTCGAATGAATTCGGGTTCGACCAAAATGAATGCAACCTACCGGGCCAGAAAGGAATGATATGAAGTGGTTCATCGCCACCGGAATTGTCACAGCAATCAAAATAACCACAATATAGTGATGGCTTTCACACCTGGCTGTGGCTCCCCAGAAAGTCAACAATTTCTGGACGACTGTTAGCAAGAGGACAGGGGTTACACAACTTTGGCGACTTTTCAACTCCTTTCCCTGGTCACGCTGTTCAAACTCTTGTTCAAAAAAGATTGCAGCATGGCTTGCAACTACTCCTCAGTGAAACATTGCGCTGTCCAACTCTCCTACGCTTGTTATGCTTCGATTACGCTCCGCCAAGAAACCCTTCCCTTCCATGCGTAACGCAATTTATGAATGGCATTCCTGGCAATATCAAAAGTTGCCTAGCACCATCGCAGTCGGAAGACGTTATTTTTTCGAGGGGGCAGAAGTGACAGTCAAAAGCCCTGCACCTGCACTTGCCACTTACAGGGGAGGTCTCGAACTCTACTCAGTTCTGATGCCAAGAGACGATGGAAAACCCGTAGCGATTTGACGCTAACGGCAGAACCCAGAACAACCTCTGGAGCAAGAGCTGGTCTGTTGGCTGCCGGCAGCCTGACATGCCTTTCGGGAGTGGTCGGACGGTGCCCGGTCAATTCGCCGACACACATCGGTGGCTATGTGACCTACAAAATAGCTCCTTTCTGAGCAAAAGCCTAGAACAAAAACCCGTGGCAAAAAAAAAAACATCGAAAGCCAAAAAAGCTGCACCATTTGCTGGCACGATATGTAGATATGTTCCCGGGACGGCTGAAGGTCAAGAATGGGCTGGAAGGCAGCGCCACATTACACACAAAACATTGGGGAGGGTTATAGTGTCTCGAGGAGAGCAAGGCCCGCCGCTGCTCACTTCCCTAACGATCCGAGCAGGCCACTGAACTCGATGTTGACGAATGGTTCCTGGAGGAGACCCGTGCTCGCTTAGGTGAGGTAAGGTAAGGTTAGGAGAAAGGGAGGTCAGACACCGCCTTTACATCACATCTTGCATCATCGCAAAGTCAACACGGAGGGTGCCACCCTTGGAGGCTAGTTATCACTCAACGTGACACCAGACGGGCGTTTGGGTAACGCAACGCGTACGACAAACGGTTCGATTAGATAAAATCCTTCAAGTAAGGTGAAAAACATGGGTTTACTGGCATTTGGTCGGGGGAGCGGGCATTGGTCGAGGCAAACGACAGAGTCTCGCCAGATATGGCCATGAGAGTGCGTGTCAAGGTCCACTTTTGCTAGTTCTTTCCGGTCAACACCATATGGTTGGAGTGGACTTGTTTTCAAGGGTTGTAGGGCAAAGTTCCCGCCACTGCATCCAGAATGGTGGGGGGGGGGGGGGGGGGGGGGAGGGGACTCCGAAGCACCATGCTTCAATTCTTTCCGTGCACCGCCATAAGCTTAGTGTTGCCTTTTCCGAGAATGTTGGAGGACTCGGGCCTCCAAAGCTGCTCTCTCTCCTCTGCCCTCTCCTCTCCTCTCCCTCTCCTTCACTCCCTCTCCCGCCCTCTCCCTCTCCCTCTCCTCTCCCTCTCCTCTCCCTCTCCCTCTCTCTCCCTCTCCCTCTCTCCTCTCTCTCTCTCTCCTCTCGTCTCTCCTCTCTCTCCCTCTCCCTCTCCTCTCCCTTCCCTCCCTCTC